CACGTGTATAAATATTGTAATGATTTAAGAAGTATTTTTGTCAGGTTTTTTTAATTTCGATTATTCTCTGGCTCGATTCAAACACACTTTCTGTGCATTTACGGTAAGACGATGCTGATCGATGGAACGCATTGAACGAAGGATAATTTCAGCTGGTACTTTGTATTGATCCTTGGGCGAAAAATTGATTCTTTACGGAAAAATTGAGAGGAGGTGGGCACGCAACGTTAAACGTAGGATGCAGGTTGCGCAAGCTCGTGTATGACCTCAGGTGCACCTGCAGCCAGGAGACGTTGGCATATCGACCAATGCCCTGCTCTCGGTGACCTCCATCTGCGTCTACTGGCCATGCTAATTTATTTACAGTTTACGGTATTTTTCGATACATCGAGAACTGCCGCGCCGGAAACTAATTACTTCAATTACACCGTGCACAGGTTTCACAATTACACGCGGCGAATGGTTTTAAATAATTAGAATTGCATCTCTCTCTCTCTCTCTCTCTCTCAAAATGATTACCATTTCGACAAAGTTAATTATAATTGGGGGCTCTGTTAACAGAGATCTACTATATTGTTATCGTCGAGGTCCGTTTCAAGCGTTCGTGGCACCAATCCTAGGTACGAAATTATCAATTGGAAGAAAAGGTATTCAAACTGTTACAAAGCGGGCATCCCTTTCACGGTGACGTTAATTAATATTGTTAATATAATAATATTGTTAATTAATATAGTATTGGTTAATGAAAATGTGATCGAACGAATAAGACCGTTACGTGAAACACAGACAAGAACGTGGAAATAAAAAGTAATTTCTTCCGTTCGATTGATCAGGAAATCGATTTGGAAAACGTAATATCGCAGCTTGGACAATAACGATAAATCTGAGGTTGATCCTTGTAACGCGAGATTAAGTGGGCCGAGAGATTAGAGCATATTTTATAATCGACGGGTTTATTATCGGCTCGAGCACCAACGGCATCGTGAGTAAGAGGCTAGTAGTAGAACGTAGTTCAACTTCAAACAAGCACCCGGAAAATGCGATACTGCTGGATCTTTATGAAAAATAAATCGAAATTTTTGCGTGTACTAGATACATTATTCATATTATTTCCCACGTCGATAGCCGCAGAAAATGCGGTCTACTAATATAATCGAGAAACGAAGTTGCGGAAGGTTGAAGTAGTTTATAGAGGATTTCGGTGTTTGATCGAGAGCTGCGAATTCGTTGCGAAACGATTTTCAGATGGGCCAGCGGGCTGGTCTCGCGAGTTAACGCAAATTACGTAGTCCTCGAGCGATAATCGCACCTGTTGGCTTGGCCAGGAATCAATTTCTCCGTGTTCTTGCTCGCGCGGAAGGCGAAGAGCGAGCTTGCCCCCGATATCTCGTTAACTCGAAACCGATTTCGCTGATTAAACGGCCGGATCATTTCGCGGCAAATGGGGAACGCGATCAAACGCGACTTTCCGTGGATTTTCCACCGAAACTCTTCCGAACTGGCTACCATCTGACTCGGTTCAAATAAAACCAAATCGGATTTCCTTTTTATCTTTCCGTCTCTCTCGATCTCCATTAAAAAATTCTGTTTTTTGCCAAACGGTGTGCAAGTGTGCTTTTCAGTTCATATGCACACACAGGCTGATCGTGAGTCAACAGAGAATCTAAATTGATCCTATTAAATTCATTTAACACCTCTTTCAGTGAAACAAAAAAAAAAGATCCGCATTATCGCAATCGACTATTGTTACTTACCCTGTGTACATTTTGTCGTTTAATTAAGCTACCGGCACGCGAATCGACAAATAGATTTGCCCGATGCATTGTTGTTCCGTTAAAACAGGTGGCTGTAAATAGGAGGAAACAAGTGTCGCTTGTATATCTCTCGACGAAATTCCGCGCCTTTCGTTGATAAGCTGCTCACGCGTGTATCACGATGCCTTTTCAAAATTCGACCAACGGATATTGAATGTCGCTGACAACCAGTATTGTGTTTTTTTACTCGGAAAGTTCAACGGCGGAAATCAAGGCAACGAACGAACGTGACAGCATGCGGGATGTCGGATAAATCCACATTTTTCAGAGTCGAAACGGCTATGCGTCGAAATAAAAATAAAACCGTGTCCCTCTAAAGTTAAATGTCTCGATAATGATGAAATTCGATTAAACGAATGATAGATGGACGAACGACGGATATTTTACGGCCGGCAAGCCGCGCAGGAGTTTCAACTACTGGAGAGACGTAGAACGATAGATCGTAAAATAAAATGTTTAAATAAAGAAACTTAGGACTGATATCGTGTTTTGAAAAGTAATTTTCGATCCACTGCACTGGCGCCTTCCGCGAGTCACTTTCTCTGGTTCGGTCGATCGGCTGACCGGGGACCTAATTAGATTCGAGGAGATAGGGGTTCGAGCAGCAAGGAAAAGGCAGCCCCAGGTGGCTACGATAGTACTTGGTGGTCGTCACAATCGTTGTTACAGTAGCTGCACCATAGCCGTGACAAACGAGCCTGTTAATGCTCTAATTAGCGCGGACATGCGCCCTTACGCGCTCCAGTCTCTCCAATTCTCCGAGCAGATTCCACGTTATCGAGTGGAATAGTTTGCACGAGCCGAAAGATGCGGGACAGCAAACTGTATCGTTACCTAATTTAATCCACGCACGTTGCCGATGAGAAATGAACTTACTGCACGAGAAACATGCCACTAACTCGTAGCACAGACTTGGAAACGTTAAACAGACAATCAGATTTAGTAAACGAACGCGCGCGTTAGTTCGTTCGGAAATTATTTCCAGACCGATGTGCATCAGACGCAGGAACGTTGTTGCAGGTAATAAATAAATTATGCAACACTGCGTGCGCATTCGAGAATTCAATTACGCGAAACGATTAATCGCGCTAACGCGCTCCACGCAGTCTTCGGGCTCGAGTTTATGCGTGAATAATGCACGGGAATCCATTCGTAGAACGTTACAAAAGTTTCATTAAAACGAAGAAATAACATCGCGGTTGCTGTACTGTTTGCATTTCGTTACTCGTAATTACGAGCGGCCACCTTCTGGAATGAGGAAAGAACGTGCTTCTGATATCTCACTGTACAATTTCCTACGACACGATTCACCGCTGTTAAAAAGATTTGACGCTCGAGTCAAAAGACTAGAATGAATACAATCACTGAGACAATGTAATCGTAGATACACATCGTTAGGCTGTGAATAGTTCGATTACATAGGAAAATTACGTTCCCCGGACTGCAGTATTATTCTATTTTCAATAAAAATCGCCGGTCTATTTATCATCCGAGTTGATCCGAGCTGGATTTAAAGTACGCAATCACCCGTTGATGCTTTTATAAATAAACAAGTAAATGGAACCGGTGAAAGCGAGTGGAAACTGGCGAGCCGAAAATGATAGAGCGGAGGTAAATCGAGGTTCGAGTAGAGCCTCCCCCGTGCTATTAATGGTCGACGTCGACCGAACTTAAGTCCTGCCGAACTTCCAACAGCCGCGGTAACTTCGCTCTCATTGTCGAGACCAAAGAAAAGATAAATTGAACGATAGCAAAGAGCAAGGAACAATGCTGCATCAAGTTTCCCGTTCGATCGTTTCAACGGATTTTTACGCATTCGCTAATTTTTAAAATCAAACAGATTAACAATATGGATCTCCGTTCGATTATCGAAATGACACCGTCCGCGGAGATTATTTATTTTAAAATGAAACTGGAACTAGAAGTTGGACGCTCGAAATTGAACCGGAAGAGCAATTAGTCCCTGGAGACACGAGGGCGAATCGTAAATCTCTAACATCCCAGATTCGGCGTGTCTTATTTTTAGATTCCCTAGTTTTATCTCAAATATCTTCGCGACACGTGTCTTCTTATAGTCATTTGGAAACGGATCGATCTTCGCTAGAACGATTCGCTGTTACATACTAAAATGTAGAAACGAGAATCACAGAGTGCGAAGGAGAGATTCGTACAGCTTATGGCAACAATTGGTATTTATGAGACACCTTCTCCCTCTGCTACGACTAAATCTTCCTCTTAGCACACGTGGGCGGATGCGAGCGCGGAATTTCTATCGTAACTGTAAATAACCAATATAATCTACCTTATTTCCTACACATGACCGACGTGAACGAACCGAGTGAGAAGAGTTGTGTAATGCGAAGTGAAAGACGCGACTCGCTTCGTTATCCTTAATGTTCAATTAAGTAGTAACTCGGCGAGAAGCCTGAGTAACGTCGGGCCACAATAAAAACGTTTCCTTCTGCATATGCATGCGTTGCGCGCTACCTCTAGAAAATCGATGCACCACCAAGCGATGCCGAGGTTTTTTCCAACAGGACAGTAAAGAGAGAAGTACAGCTCCTACCGGTTTTGAATCATTGCCGTCGATACTGTCTTGAGTGGACAGGAAACAAAATTGATCTATGTACACATGCCCAATTTGTATTTACACGACGAAGAGCGAGACGATGGCTCATCGATCTCACGTTAATAAGCAAGGTTCTAGGAGCGTTCTACTGGTTATGAAAACGGAGTAGACGGAGGCTCTTACTGCCCTGGCACCCTTCATCTCGCGATATTTTTACGTGTCTTCGAGATGGGATAGAACGGCTTGACAGACAACGCGTTCAAGCATAAATAAAAAGCCTGTAAACCCGACGTCATCTTGGTCCGTCTGTAGTATCGATTTTCCCTGAATACGAATCTCGAGTTTATTCCTGGTGTATCTACAGCTTTGCTGTGTGAAATATCGGGAAAATGTAAGGAGAAAATAGAGGCGGCAGCATAAACGCGCAACACACGGCTCTTCTTACAGTCAAAAACCTGCGCTATATTTTTAAACGAGAGCTTCGGACTTTCTATCGAGGAAGAGGATCGCTCTCACCGCCTGTCCCTAAACTAGACTTCCAACTAATTCGCGATCGCCGTCTCTCACGAATTACAATGTGTTACAACTATTTAGAAAATCTGATTGTCTGTTCGCAGAATAACCTGACAGACGGGGAAGAAGATCTGCCTGAAGAGAGTATCTCGTTGTTGTCGGCGCTTCTAGTTGGTTCGCTAAACTTCCCATTTGATCGATCGCGACTCGCCCCTCGAAGACAACCCTCTGGGAGGTCCTTCACTCGAAAACTTTGATCTAACAATAAGCTGTTCCCTTCCTCGATCCACCACCACCATCATCCTATCTATTACCATCGATTACGATTCAACACGAAGCATTCCATTTCCCGCCCGTTCGTCTCGCGTCCCAAGTACATGTCCGCGTACTCGCTAATCGCGAAAGATTTCCGCGCTGTCGCCATCTCCGACAGAGTGACTCTTCGAGGGGTGAGTGAAATTACTCGTGCAAGCTTGATCAACCCCCCACTAGTCCAGTTCGTTCGCCCGCTTCTTTCAGGATTTCTCTTCCTGATCTTGATATTTTTATCCGTCGCGGGCAACATTTTAGTCTGCGTGGCGATTTACACGGACCGCGGTTTACGGAGGATAGGAAACTTGTTCCTGGCGTCCCTCGCGATAGCCGACCTGTTCGTCGGTTGCCTGGTTATGACGTTTGCCGGGGTGAACGATCTTCTCGGTTATTGGGTGTTCGGCCCGCGATTCTGCGACACCTGGATCGCCTTTGACGTTATGTGCAGCACTGCCTCTATTCTGAACCTTTGCGCGATCTCTCTCGATCGTTACATTCACATAAAGGATCCTCTCAGGCAAGTTCATATTGTCATCACAATCAGAGCTAACTCGGAACGTCAACTATCCGGACGGTTCTCCCAAATGTTTGTTCTTAGAACGTCCGAATGTTCTCAGTAGAACTTCTTATTTCATTCTTCGATCAAATATTTCATATTACGAATCGACGAGATCAGATTTCGAACGAGCCTGTCTCCCAATTAGTTCGGATAATCGACGTTCTCCCATTTCATATCTGTTAGTAATAGATTCGACCAGCAAGTTATGCATATACATACATATATACATACATATATAATTTGAAAGAAATACGTACCTGTACTATTCATATATGTATGACTTAAAATACTATTTTATCCAGCTCAGCTGCACTACCCCCCATCCGTACTCATTCCTCTGTTCACGATTATCGATAACGTCCTGTATCGTTTTTCCGATCAGATACGGTCGCTGGGTGACGAGAAGAGTCGCGTTCGCTGGAATCGCTATCGTTTGGTTGCTCGCGGGCCTCATATCCTTCGTACCCATCAGTCTAGGCCTCCACCGAGCGGACGACGAACCCATGATGTACGACGAAGAGGTAGGTACGCGAGAGAATAAGAAATACGAGAGAGCGGATTCTAACTAACGATCACATTTTCAGGAACACCCTATGTGCGCCTTGGACCTCACGCCCACCTACGCGGTGGTATCCTCTTCTATATCTTTTTACGTGCCCTGTCTCGTTATGATAGGAATTTATTGCAGGTAACTTTAAATGAATTACCCCAATAATTTCGTAACTAACTGGAATTTCTCGGAAGAAGCTGACCCTAGAAGGGATACTCTTTGTCAAGATGCCATTTCATTGTTTCCAGGCTCTATTGCTACGCGCAGAAACACGTGAAAAGCATCCGCGCAGTAACGAAGCTGCCGGACACGTCAATGGCCAAAAGTTTTCGCTCGAAGAGCACACGCAACAAACCACCGAAACCGCAGACGAAAACGAAGCCGACGAGTCCGTATCACGTGTCCGATCACAAAGCCGCGATTACAGTCGGTGTGATCATGGGCGTTTTCTTAATATGCTGGGTACCCTTTTTCTGCGTGAATATCGTCGCTGCGTATTGCAAGACCTGCATATCAATTCGAGCATTCCAAGTACGAATCGCTTTCAGTCAGCTGAATCACGTCTTTACGATTTCTACCGCCGCGCGCCGTTTCGTCGAACGAAATAGCGTGGTTAACGTTCGCCGTGCGAACGATACAATAGGCAAACGAGAGAGGCAATATTGAAGGTGAATTTGGTGTGTGACAGGTACTCACTTGGCTTGGCTACAGCAACTCGGCCTTCAATCCGATCATCTACAGCATCTTCAACACAGAGTTCCGAGAAGCGTTCAAGAGGATCCTGACGAAGGGTGCACGAGCCCGGGGGAACCAGCCGTCGACCAGCGAGTGCGGAGAATTCCGGTCCGTCGTGGTGCAGAAGCGGAACGGGTCCATGATCGAATGCAATATTAGTCCAAGATCGAGCGCGGACAGTTGCCAGGTCGGATTAATGGCGCAAAGGCATCGCGATACTATCGTCAGCGCGATATAATTCGATTCGAGAGTCATCGTTATGTTCTGGAAGAAAGGAAATGGCGCAAATCGATTGTAATGTCGACGACTTGAGTCCCGAACAGTTTATCGATTTTCCCATCGAACGGTGATCGCACGCACTGTAAACTACTTACACACGAATCGACTTCCTCCCACGGCTAGCTAGGTAGGCTGCGATTCACAGTTTTCTATCGCGATCGTTGAACCTGCTACCGGGTCACTTCATCACGAACGCGTGGTACGCGGTAACGTTATAGCACGTCGATTAATCGAAAGAATGAACCAACGGGTCGCAGAATAGGTCACGTGACGCACGCCGAACCGACGTTGTTTATATTGGTATCCTTGTTTTAATCTTTTAACGCTGCTACAGCTGCAGTGCAGCAAACAAACATCCCCCATCCCCCGCCGCCCTCCCTCGTCTTCGCATGATCGACGTACTATTCAAGACCGCGTGCTCGAAAACATTTCGTCCTTCCTCTCGTTGACATATCATCTCATCATCATCGGGTATGTACGATGTCGCTACACGTGTCTAACGTGTTCTCCAAGTTCTCTATAAGTAACAGTGAACGAAATTTCTGTATATCCGGGATACAATCGTGACCGAGAAGTTTGCCGTTCGGAGTAACGAGTTGGAGAAATGATAATGAGTGTTCTATACTATGTACTTAACGAGCAACGCGATCCGAATTAAAATTACAAATGCATTGCATAGAACTGTTCTGAATGTCGAGAGCATACGTTTCAACGTTTATCTATGTAAAAACGAATTGTTTCGCCGATAAAAATTCGTATCCGCTGAACGTCGTGAGCAATACCTGTTGGCTTGGCAACGTATCGATTCCATCCGTACCGGCGAAAAGATGAAAATTCTTTTCTTTCCTGTTCTCTTCCTACTTCCTGTTCAAATTCGACAAGCGAGAACGGCGCGAAGGTTACACGCGAGTCTTTTTACAGAGTACACTTATTTCTTGTCCGCAAAATGGGAACAGAACTCGTCGACGCAAAGAATTTTAAAGAATTATCCTAAAGACAATCACCAGAAGGTAGTTCGAAACATATCCGTGATCCACTCTTACAAGAAAACGAAATCGGAACGCGAATCGTCGCGGTCAGAACCGAACAGTAGTATAGGATCGATCGGTGAAAAAGTTACGAGAGAAAGAATATAAAGGAGATTCGTGCGTAGAGAAATTCGAGTATTAGTATATCTAGAATACTCTGATTCGCATAAAGCAATTGTAACTACTACATTAAATCATGTTGATAGCGCATCTACAGTGTAAAGCTGGATGTTACACGAAGCACTAATAGTAACGTCTGTAGCTTATATTAGTATTAGGATCGCGGTGGAACCCGCACAGATTCATTTGCCATCTTGTAAATAGTCATTTATTTATTTTTCTATTTGACGGGACGCGAACGTGTTGACCACCACCACCACCACGCGTGATCGCATTGTAAGCGATTACTCGTTCAGGTGTGCTCGCAACAATGTCGTGAATCTAACCCGTTAAATCTAAACAACTGAAAATCTGCGTCGTTTATCCAACAAACGAAAGGAATCCTCGCGAAACGCAACTGACGCTCATCGAACCTCTTCCATGCATCTGTATCAGCGATTTGCGAAGTGCACTGCATTCCGGTGGGAGAGTAGGCTTGGATATTATTGCTAAAGTAACAAACGATCTGACATCTATCCTGTCGGAATGCGGACACGTGCACAGTGTCGATGTATACTAATGATATATTTGAATGATCGTTCTCTGTAAATATATTAGCGTAAGACTTCCACACGCGAGTATTAAACTTAAAACGTTCCACCATATCCTCGTCATCCTACCAACCTACTTGTTCAACAGAGTAATTACGCATATTCTTTCTTTATTCAATTCTTTATTTTTCTAAAGAACATTATATTTTCTGACGGAACATGTCGTCTCGTACTGTGCGATGCGCTCGTTAAATGAAGCGGTTTCGTGTCGTTCCAAGTACGCCTCTCCATCGGGACTTGAAGGAATTCGAGGAGCTCGGACGTCAGCTTCGGTATGATAGGGTGCAACACTAGTGCGGCCACTCGTAAATTCTCTAGGGCCAAAGATATCACAGCTTCGAGTTCTTTTAAGGAATCGGGATCTTTGCATTTGATTAAACACCACGGCTGATGATATTCGAACATTTGATTAGTAATATGCAATGTGTCCATCACTGCTTCTATCGCGTGATGAAGATTGTATTCCTCGTAATGTTTCTTAGCTTTCTCGCCTAGGTCTTCCAAAGAACTTATGTTCCTACGAGCCACATCAGACTCCAAAATGTCAGCGTATTCGGCCGAGTTGTGTAACACTTTGTTTGGATTTATAGCCGGACCAAAACATCGATTAATTAAATTACCCAAAGTATCGGCAAGCTCTGAATTCAACACTTTCCGAACTTTAGACTTGTTGTAATCTGCAACGAACAAATGTCCATACTGTAAAATGCGACGCGCAATGCTGGAGTTATTTCGTAGAATTTTTCCCGTACTTGCGTCTGCTTGTAACGTAGCTTGTCGCAGAAGGAAATACCTCAGACCTTCTTCTGTAAAATCACGAACGGCTGTGGACGGCGAGATCACATTTCCTTTGGACTTGGACATTTTCTTATCCTGAATGACCCAATGCCCGTGACACACAAGTTTCTTCGGAGGCTCGAGGCCAGCGGCAATTAAGAACGCCGGCCAGTATATGCCATGGAATTTCAATATATCTTTTCCTATGACCTGTTCAGGGATAGACTCTTAGAATCTCTTTCATTTATCATTCGAGGTAAAATGGACGAAGAAAGTATGTACTTGTACAGGTGGCCAGAATTCTGTAAACGATTTATCTGGATATCCCAGCGCAGTTAGGTAATTTACTAACGCGTCCAACCACACGTATATCGTATGAGACTCGTCGGATGGAGTACGAATCGCCCACGGCACTCTCTCGACAGGTCTAGAAATACTTAAATCTCGTAGATCGTCCAACCAGAAGACCAAAGAGTTGCGATACATTGCCGGTTGTATTACATTTTCTAAATATAATATTTCGAGTATGAAAGTGGTCCCTTTCTTCGGTGAAATTCGTCAAATAAAACGAACTTACCGTCCTTCAACCAATATTTCAGATCATCTACAAATGAAGTAAGTCGAAATTTATAACCGTCCTCCTCTGTCCATTCTAAAACGTCTCCTGATTCTGTGAATGCGTTTGTAGCTGATGATTTGTGTAATACTTCTTTGTCCGAGACAAACGCTTCTTCAGATACATTGTACCATCCCGCGTATTTGCCTCGGTAAATGTGTCCATTATTTTCTAAACGATTCTGCAACATTTTTACTTCATGTACTCCATGTCTCTTCTCGTTTCTCGTCGAATCTGCAAGCGATGCTTTATAAGTTTAACAACCCAAAAGTGATGAACCGCCTCCCGATGCCGCGTTTCGGTCGTTCGAATGAATCTTGAATATTGAACTTGGAAATTGTCGCACACGTCTTGAAATTGTCGCGAGACCCGGGTACAATATTCGGGGATCGGTAAGGCCGCGGTGTTCGCAGCTTTCTGGACTTTCGTGCCGTGTTCATCGGTACCGGTGCATAAGAATACGGAATGTCCTAGCATGGTGTTGAATCTAGCTATGGCGTCAGCCAAAACGGCTGTGTAAACATGTCCGATATGTGGTCCTAAAAGAATACAGAAAAAGTCAGCCCCTACATTTATATGCGCTATCGTAATTACGAACAATAAAATTTTTCCACGTTTACAATAATTACGTACCAGCATTTACATAAAATATAGGCGTAGTGATGTACATATTTTTAACCGCATGATCACTGAAATTACTCTTCTGAATATGGGTCCACGGTGGTGGTCGTTTTCTTAGTAAGAATGGGAATGACCTCGATAAGCGGACTGTAATTATAGTATCAACATTTATCCATCAGAACTAATTAGGCTACTTCCAGACGTACGAAATATGATATGTAATTGTATTATTCAATTTTCTAATAAATAACTCGATAGAAATTTGTTCACTCTGTTCATTTATTTCGAGGACATTCTATACAAATCCGAAATACAGTATTTATAAATGAAACAGGATTACAGGAAGTGTGTACAGTAAAAATAATTATTTATTCTGAAACTCTAACTGAATCGTTTCTAATTGTGCTATAAGATCCATGTGCTTAAATTCGTCGGGTCTATTGGTAAAGGTTTCTAATAATTGCTGCCTCTTGGGGCTGTCTGTACAATAGTACAATTGCAATTCATTCGCCAAGCACTGCGCTTCTTGTACACTGATGCATTTATCATCGAATTCACCCCGCATAAGAACGATCCCTTTGTCATCTTTAAATTCTGTGTAATGCACCATGGTTAAACATTCTGGTGCATTCTCTTTATGAGCTTGATACCACAGGAGTGGTGTCATGTGGATTTCTAATCCGTAGAATTGAACGACGATAAATTCGTATCCTTCCTTTCTAGGTAGTGGCAATAAAAACGTTGAATACTTTTTCCCAAGCTCAAACATTTTATCGAACTGTTCTGGAGTCAGTATCCCAGATATATAATCTTTATCTCTGTGATAATCTTTCCAAATGTTCACGATCTCATCCTTTGTCTTGTCTCGTATCATGTCCACTTTCATTATCGTGTCTAATCGTGCTTGCCTAGGTCGATTTCCTTCGTCCAATTCTGGTTTTGCTTCGCTCTGATAAAATTTACGCTCTTCTCCTTGTTTTTCTTCAATTCAATAATAGAGATACATAAAAGAATCGCATCGGTACATATACTACTTGTTTTTGTCTAAGCTAAAGTTCAGTAGCAGATTTTTTTAGTACTGTATGTAACACACGTACAGTATCGAAATCTTAAGTAGTACTAAAGATCAACAGGTCGATTTTCATTCAACGCATTAAAAATAGTGTGCAAATGATGTTTCTGAATATTTCATAGGTTACCTTTCTTTTGCTGCAACTTTTTCTCCTGACTTTCGACACGCTGCAAGAATTCTTCTGGACTAGTTTGTTGAAATCTCGCTATTTTATCAGCGTACTTATTGAAAAAAGGATTTTTCTCGAGATTCTCTACAGCTTTCTCAAGCCTAGCTCGGGACATCATGATGTATCTTTTGTTGCAATTACTCGTAATGATTGAAACGTTCTTGAACGTTAGTACCGATAATCGTACAATATTTCGTGAGAAAGTTGCCATGGATCATTCGACATTTAATTAAATATCAATGAACATAATACGCGCACCCTACACACATTACACATGTATTTATAAAGTATGTTGTACATACTACATACGTGCACACACTGCACACGTGCCAAAAAATTCTGCTTCGGACAAACTATATATACCCGAAAGATTTTGGCGGGACGTAAAATAGTGCATGCAGATGTACATTTATACAACGTATAAGTTAGGTAATAAATAGAGAAATGATATTTTCGTATTGAATTGGTATGAAGCGAATACGTTAGATGTCAATATGTTACATCATAATTTTTATTTCGTTTCGGTCGATTTCTTCTTTACTTCCACCGTAATTCCCCATTTGAAAGATTTGCTGAACATTAAACGTTATGAAAAGATTAAGTCAAGGATTTTTATGTCTATTCGAGAGATTCGTATATGACGTAGATACGGGTCTGGCTGGATGAGAATGTATGCTCACGAACGTTCAAGCGAATGAACGAGTAAACTTGTAGATGTCACGTTGTCATCGAGGTCGAACGCAACTGTTTTCGTTATTAAAGTAAGAGATTTATAAAACGATTAAGCGGACATAGATAATGATCGATCGGTAATGATTGATTAATAAGGACTCTAGCTTGAACACCGCCCATATTGTGACGCATCATTTCCGCAACGTCAGTCGTTCTCGTCTCGTATATCTGACTCACCTAGACCTGGTCTAGAGACAGAAATTGCTCGCCGTTGTTCAGAAGCTAATTTTTCGATGTTGCACTAGGTGGTGACACTCACGGCGTTATCTCGCGCAATTCTTTCTATGTAAATTATTTATAAACAGCTGTACAAGCGTATATGCGAAACGAAATTAAAAGATTCATTCCCTGACGATTTTAATAATAAGATCCTTCGTATATGCTTTGACGTTTAGAACACAAAGTTTTGAAATCATATCTGTATTGCAATTGCACACTCTAGGAATGTTCAGATTTAGAAGAAGATTAATTTAATAAAAAGTTATACTCCTGTATGTATTATTTATTCTTGTAATCGATTTTCATAATCGCTCATTATTAAATGATACAACGACCAAGTTCGCAATTTCTTAGTAAAATAGGAATTGTAGGAAAGGCGACGAAGGGAATGAGATAATGCGAAAGAATAATAATTAAAAAGTACGAAACAGCAGAGGATCTATGTAGATCGTGACAGTTTAGTATCGACATGTCTCAGTAGGGGGTGCTGTGGACGTGTTAACAAAATAATATGTATATTGAGTGAACCTACCCTGCTTCGAGCAGCGAAAGGGAAAATGTCGGCGTATTAGTGGGGATTTGTTGTGCCACTAGAGAGTGATTTTTGGCTACGGTTTCCTCGACAGATTTTACCGAAAGAAATCCTCCATCGATACGGTTTCGCGAAGGCTGAGCATTGTCGGGTTCGCCAGTAAATGGCGTATAAGTTCTATCGGGCACGTTTAGTACTTTAAATCAGGTTTGATTCCGACGTGAGCCAGTCGCAGAGTCTGCCGTCCGTCGGTTCTAGCGGAGGAAGGACAGAAATAGGGAAGCCAATATGTCGGTGCAGTTGGCGATGTCAGTAGCGAAGAATGAGTTTATCGTGGGTGGCAAATACAGGCTATTGAGGAAGATCGGCTCGGGATCATTTGGCGACATTTACCTCGGTATCAACATTTCGAATGGCGAGGTAAGAAGTACCGTTTCATCGGAGACGACCTGCCAGCACATTTTCATCCTCGTTCTCTCTTCCTTCTTTCTTTTCATTTTTTTCTTCCTCCTTTTTTTAACAAAATAATTCGTCTAGCCCGTCGATCATGAAATGACTCATTATTTCGTTCACCAAAACGTCGAAACTTCACGGGAAATATGTTTTTCTCGATATTATTTGTTGGTTACACGAAATGTCCGTTGTTTTTTCTCAAATGATCTGCAAGTCGTTAACTACTGTTCGTTTTAATAAAATGACGTTTGCTCGAGCGATCCGTCGACCGCGGGTTATTTTAAACAATTTTACGAGCATCGCTGCTCCACTGCGTTCATCTAAGTTTTTGCATGTGATTAACCTCTATATATATAAAAAAGAATATTGATGTATTTATGTTTACGTAAGACAGTCGTTGATTTTAAACTATTGTTTGTACGAAAAACTTGTATGCGAACGTTTGCAATCGAATGATCACGGGCAAGAAGTGACTACTAAAGAATTGTGTCTATTGCACTCTGACTAATCTTCTAACGATAACTTTTATGAATAAAATTTACGTTCGACCTGTGCTCACGCGGAATTCTCGGAACACGTCTACATTATCTTATTTTTTTCTTTTTTCTTTTTTACGCGAGACTATTTTTGGTAAGATGCACGACGTAACTTTGCAAGACGTTACATTCCATTCTTTATACATGGCCATTTTTGTTACTACTGTATTTAATGTTATCTTCATATTATTCATGCAAACTCTTTGCATACTAAATGTAGATAAGTTACGTACGGGATGTTCCAGTTTTTTCCGTAAGACATTACGCTACGTTTGATGAGGAAAATTAAGAAAAAATAGTTGTTGTCGAATACTTTGTTGTTAAAAAACACTGAAACGATGTGCGCTGCTGCTCCCTCGTATAAATCGTTCGTTCGCATTAAAATTCAATTTGAAAATATTCGCGAGTTCGCGAGTATCTTGATAAGGAAATCATGCAATGTAATAGGTATTATTAGTTTCAACTCCAGGCAGCAATCAAATTACCGACTTATGTATGTAAACATTTGAGTTTCAGTAAACATATTGAATAGATATCGGCAATGTGTTCCTATTCACCAGACCCTCATTATTACTACCTTGTATTTTTATACATAGAACGTTCTTCTAGGAGTAATTTCTCTAAGAAGACGTGATATAATTCTAGCACTACGATAACCATATTAATCTCTGTCTGAATAATATAAATCGTGCGTGTTGCGTGTTATTTTAGGAAGTTGCTGTTAAATTAGAGAGTGTCCGTGCGAGACATCCACAACTTCTGTACGAGTCGAAGCTATATAAAATTTTGCATGGTGGTATAGGAATACCTCATGTACGTTGGTAAGTATCGTCTTGTTTATCCCGTTTCATTGTTCAACAACAACTATTATTATTATTGTCTAATCCCGGTGCTGCTGCGCGATCACTTCGAATCAACGAACGTGTGGTTTTCGTTTAGGATCCGCGACGTGACGTAGCTTGTCTTAACGGCGCGTTCATTCATTAATTTTTGTATCTCACGTTCGCGCCCAAATAACAAGTTAAAATTCCATAAGCATCCGTTGCTCTGTTACCAAACACAGGTATGGACAAGAACGAGAATACAATGTGCTCGTCATGGATCTTCTCGGTCCATCTTTGGAAGACCTTTTCACTTTTTGTACGAGAAAATTTACAATTAAAACAGTTTTAATGTTGGCAGACCAAATGATTGGTAGGATCGAATACGTTCATTGCAAACATTTTATCCATAGAGACATAAAGCCGGATAATTTTTTAATGGGTATCGGTCGCCACTGTAACAAGGTATGAGCCTCGTAGTATTAAGCATAACAGTTTCTCTTGCAGATCATTCTGCAAGCAGTTTTCATTTGGTTACAATGTTGATCGTTTTTTAGCTCTTTCTTATTGATTTTGGATTAGCTAAAAAATATAGAGATAGTCGTACGAGAATGCATATAATATATCGGGAAGACAAGAATTTGACGGGCACGGCAAGGTATGCTTCGATCAACGCACACCTTGGAATAGAGCAGAGCCGTCGCGACGATATGGAATCACTCGGTTACGTACTCATGTATTTTAATCGAGGATCTTTGCCCTGGCAAGGGCTTAAAGCTGCTACTAAAAAACAGAAATATGAAAAGATAAGTGAAAAGAAGATGTCCACGCCCGTAGAAGTTTTATGTAAGGTGAGTGTCACTGAGTGTGTGTGTGCTACCTGCGACCAACAGTCCTTACGTTTTCTAACGATTCTGTTGTTGTTCAGGGATTTCCTGCTGAATTTGCGATGTATTTAAATTATACGCGAGGTTTACGTTTCGAAGAGAGTCCGGATTACATGTACCTTCGCCAGCTGTTCCGTATACTTTTCCGTACATTGAATCATCAATACGACTACACGTTCGACTGGACAATGATAAAACAAAAGGGTACCAGTGTACCGCCTATAGGTGGTCCGAGTCAAGCGAATCAAGGTACTCTGGGGCAGGGCCAAGCCCAAGGGCAGCCAGCTGCTCAGATAAACGCTCAACCAGGTGACGTCTCTATCCTTCGAATCGTACGCGTAAAATAATCTTTTGAAGACCAAGAAGAACTTTTACTCAGTGTCTCTTGTGTTGTTACAGAAAGGATAAAACTGTAATTACTTGTCACCGCATCAATCCTATTTGCAGCAGTCACTGAAGTGTCCAAGACCAGGTACTCAACTTTGTACGAACGCCATGCAAAGGGTAAAATCAATCAATCCTCTAAGTTTCCACAATGGAGGATACATACGATTACGAGCGTATCGTACACAAGTAAAGGACTATGCCACGGGTACACGTTTCGTTACGAATTCGCTGATCAGTGCAAACCTCAAGTGTATTCCGAGTGCTTAGAGTTTTGGTTGATGTACCTCTTTGGGCTTAAAATCCAAGTGAGATCAGCCAGAAGTGGCTCGTTCTTATTTTGTTATTACCTATTTAATTCACCATTGGTAACCATTGAAAATAAAGGTTTTGATGCCCCGAAGACCTTTCTAACAGAGTACACATGGAAATGGTGTAATGTGTAATTCAATTGAAAATCTGGCATGCAACAACTTTCATAGAAAGAAAGAGAGGACGACTATTCATAAGCATTCGGGGTAGTTAATTGAGTGCATCGTATAAAATTTTATATCTATTCTACAGATAGAAGAAGAAGAAAAAAAATGGTATGCGAGGACGAGCGAGTGAATGGTCACGTGAGAGTATGGAGAAAATATATAAGTGTACTGAGAGATAAATACAGTTTATTGCTTCCTGATTTTTGTTTTCTTCTCAGTACGATATACGACATAAGTATAAGTGTGCAACTTTGAGAGAAATGTTAATATTTTTCTTACACACGAATCGTCGTGTGTCAATAATATCAAAGAGATCCCTCCCTCTGATACTATTGACTCCGATAACTTTTTTTTTATACAAGTATATACATATATACATAACGTGAGCGTGGACACGCGAGTACGCACGAATAAGCGGAAGTATCTCTGAATCGAGTACTGGAAATAATATTTAATATTATAAGGCAGCAATTTAATTTTTAGATGCGTCGTATCATCGATCAAGAAACGAACAAATTATTAGCGATTTTTTCCTAACGAACTTCACACTTTACTCTCTTTCTTTCTGTGAGTATATTTAGTCGACTATGATAAATAAAATAAACATTAAACAGACTTTTCTGTATTGGAGATGGACTACAGGCTCGCGTCTCGTGTCGACTCGAAAGAAAAATTTGAAGAAATGTATAAAAAAAAAGTAACAATAATAATGATGATGATACACACAGACACAATGGACGCGATGCGAGTCTGTAACCAGATCCAGCCAAAGGACTTCTTCCGTATATAGTTTTAATGGCAGAGACTGTGCAGTGGTATCTCCCCGTGCTATTGCTTCGACGTTAAGTTTACTACATTATTACGTGACTTGGAAATCGATCGGTCAGTCGGTTCTCTCAATGTTCATCACGTTAAACGCAGCGACACTAACAAGTCCTCAGAAGATTCTCGTTTCTGTCATTCAACAAATTTTTCGTTTGTATCGACTATTCTAGTTGCGTCGATATTCACGTCCATGTTCCAAGCACTACTTCCAGAAGACGGTGGTGTATAATCTCAATCATTGTTAACTCGTGTGATGTCCTTGTCACGGGAACATTCGAAACGAAAGAAAGATAAAGCGCCTGAATCAGCCTCATTTCTACCCAAGTTACGAAGGATAATACGAGTGGATCTTGTGTACCATTATATATATATATATACTTTCAAAGGACGTTCGACGAAGTGGTTTGAAAAAAAAAGAGATATAACAGTGGAATATATCCTCGAGCGAATGTATGGTTAATTATTATTATTATTATTATTATTATTATTATTATTATATTAATATTATTTTATTATTATTAATATTATTATTTTTATTATTATCAAAAATGAGGGAGACGAAGGAAAAAAGAAAGATGCGACGATGAGTAAGAATGTGTTATACTACCATGCATTGAGAATGAATGAACGTAAGTTAATGAGCAATTAATGATATATGCACTTATTACTATCCGGTACGTATGAGTGTATATATACAGGGCGTCGTCCTGCGAAATGTTCAACAGATTTTTTCCACGTGTTTACCAGGTCATTGGTGAACGAAAAATTGTCACACACAGCATACAGGTTTTACAGTAAGAGTTGGCTATCTGTTAGGACGAAGTAAGAGATCGAACGCGATACACTCTGTTCTCACATTGTGTGTCGCGGTCTTATTTTAATCAGCAGAAGCGTCAACGTCCGCGCGTCGCGCCTACAAAGAGACTGTAACTTCCGTCGGCTAACTGTCCCGAATTCTCACAGATATCCGACTTTCACTGTACTTAATATTCGTTACACTCGGTCTCATCGGAGACGACACGTTAGACGCGTATAGTAAAATCGCAATTTAGTTTTCCCGTTTCTTTTTTTAGATCTGAAGCACGTTTTTAAATAGACGCGATCTTTGATCCGTCGCAACCCTTTTACGAAACGGTGTCGGACGACGTCTTCTCGCGAGAAAAGTGAAAATATTCCGAGTTTTGGTAAAAAGGCTACGACATGTACATATACGTAATGCCAATCGTGATCGTGTCTTCGATCATGTCCTTATTCACGTTGCGTCAACGTTGATTTTTTTTTTAACGTTTGTTGTAAACATTTGACTTCGTATATCAAGCCGAAGAGAGTTGCTAACGATAGCTTGCGTACACTCACGAGTGAACTGCCAGATGCTATTTAACGCTGTATCTGTATTGTGTTGATTTTCTCTCGTGTTTTCTATTTGATCGTGTCGAAAAGTACTTTCTCTCGTACAATTCTGTATAAATTTTGAACAATAAAGTAATAAGGAACTGCCATCCGAATGTTTATTACTCTTGGGTCTACGTCCCGAGTTAGCCGAGTCACGTCTCGTTAGTTTAGCAGCTCGTTAACTCTCAACATCTTATTTCTTTTCAATGACCTGGCGAACACGCGGAAAAAATTCATTGAACGCTTCGCGAGACGTTCTGCGATACCAGGTAAGTCTTTGTACGAGGAGATGCGGCTCGAATTAATCTTGATTGACGGAGCCGCGTTCCTAATGTGTGTATATATACATACATCCGACAAGCGCGTATGTATTAAAAAAGTTGTGACGGTAATTTCAAGTATACATGTACGTTATTTCATAAATAATGAAGGAATCATCGACAGTTTATTGCTCTTTTTATCGCTACCAATAAAAAACGGTATCATTGTATCATAGTCTGTATTTCATCAAGTGTCGAAGGCAATACAACCGGCTGCACCGATAATTATAATTATCATTATCCAAAAACGGTAGCAACACGTTCAAGGTGGACGAGATTATATTCTCCTCCCGAGAACGACTGTGCCACGATATTCTTGATTTCGCGACGGGACATGTGTAAAGGATTAATATTCATGTAAATATTTTTAAGTCGTGTATATTTGATCGGTCGCGAGAGATATTATTATACAGAAGCCATAGACTGTTAATTCAGACTGTTAATTCACACTGTTGATAACAATGAATGTGACCAGCTGAGTTTATAAGGTAACATAAAGAAAGCTGCTGACTACCAGCTGTACGCGATGCACGTAGTCGATTCGGAAAATAAATAAAAATCGCACGTTCCAACATTCTATTGTGGCTAGTAAATTCAATTAGTTCCTATTATCGAATGTAAAAAATTAATTATTCGTTCCGTAGAAGATGGATTAATTAGGCTGCCACAGTTACGCGTCGTGCAAAACGATAGTACGAACGAAACAACAGTACGAATTTGTACTTTACAACTATACATGTCTCCTCCTCTGTGATAACCGCGTGTTCCGCAGCGTACATACAGCACACGATCATTAGTAAACGAGACTAGTACTAATAGCAGAGCAAGGTATGAATTTTCCTAAGCTCCTGCGTTCCTACGTTAACGGTATAAACTTTTTCGTGGCCTTTACGAGGGATCGCGATCTCGGCAGCTAGCAGTTTGCTCGCCCGCATGGCAGCCGCCATTTCACGATTAGGGAACAATGCGAAATTCGCCTCGGCCGTTCCACCCATTGTTCTCTGTACGATCTCTTCTAGAACTTCGTTGATCAACTGATCGGTTCGTTCTTTCAATCTCCTCATAAGTATCTGCCGTTGCAACAATTGATAAACGGGCGTTGCCTTCTCTAATACCGGGCCTTCCAGACCGCGTGCCTTGCTATGCCTCAAGTCGGGAACGATGGGGAACGTCATCGCTTGCTTAATGTCTTTGGTGAGATCGTTCGTCTTTCGTTTCAGTTCTCCTATTTTTGCATTGATCGATTCCAGTTGCGCAGGCGGAGTTATCGGGTCCAAGCTGTCCAACTTCTGACGTAACACGTCGGACATCAACTTCTTCTTTTGCTGATTTTCGCTGTTCAAAGCTTCTTTCAGCGCGTATATCTCTTGTACCAAGAATCTGTTGTCCGACGGTTGAATTTCGGACAACGACGACGACGTAACGCTTCCAGACATGTTGTCCACACCGCCGGTCGACTTCCGTCCGACAGATTTCAATTTCTCCTTCAATTGACCCCTCTCCATTTCTAAAGAATCGATGTCCGTCTGAAGATGATCCATCGTTTCTTCGAACTCTTTCTCCTTTCGTTTCAATTGATTCGTCGCTTCTTCCAGTTTCCTCTTCATCTTCTCCATGTTCGATTCGTGCTCGTGCTGTTGAGTCGCGAGCTTCTTCTCCGCGACGTCTTTCCTCAGGATCATCTGACACAACTCCTCCTGCATCTCTCTGAGAGCGAGTCTCACCTTGAGTATGTCGTCGTTTTTCCTGTCCAATTTTCTGCTGAGCACCTTGATCTTTTCAGCTTCCTTCTTCGCCAGTTGTGCCCGAACTTTGATGGGCTGCTCGGTTTCTTTCGCCGCGCCTTGTTCGCGTTGTTGCGACAGCTGTCCACTTATCGCCAGCTCGTTCTCGCATTCCGCCATCTTCTGCGCTAAATTCGCCGCCTGCTGTTGAATCATCGTCAGACTTGCTTTGATCGTAGCCACCGGTCCTACATCCTCGGTATCGTAAACCTTCTCGCACGCCATAGAAGCTATCTCCTTCAGCTTGTCCGCGCCGAGACCCGTGTCCAGATCGCCGTTGGTAATGATCGCCTGCACGGCGCTCTTCAGCAACATCTGTAACGTCTTCATCAATTTCGAAGAATGGTGATAACACGCGAACAGCTGTTCGCTGCAGTCATCATCCAACCCCAATTTCGATTCCGGCGCATGGATCGCGGCGGAGTGATCAGTCAGTACTCGTCTCCTGGCCGACTTCAAGTGCTGTTGGATCACTTCGCACGACGTCTCGACGTGTTGACAGAGGAGGCCTATGTCGCCACTGTCTCCGTGAATCAAAGTTTTGATCGCCGCAGCGTCGGTCGCGATCGCGTCGCAAGAACTGTCCAACATTCTCGTGCCGTTAACCACCAAGCGCGCCTGATTGATCGTTTCTCCGAACAACGCGGAGAACATGGTACAAAAGTATCCGCAACATTTCTCGACAGCGTCCGTCGGCAGATTTTCGTCCAACTGATCCCTCTTGGCCAAATCTATCAGAGAGTCCAACGATTTCTCCTGCGCGGCCATTTCCGGATAGGCTGCCCCGGCCTTGAGCAACATCTCGGTTGAGCAAACGTTCAACGCGGAATCGAAACAACCGAGGAACGTTTGCAACGCGTACATGTACGAACAAAGCCGCGATCTGAACGTGTACTGTGCCACCGAGTGACCTTTCAACACGGCCGCTTTGTCTATCTTATCCAACGATCTGTACTTTTCCCGCACTTGCGACATGAGTATTTCGGTCTTTTGTATCATTCTCGGTATCAGCAGAAGCGTCAGAATAGCGTCGTGATCTCCGCCCCGAGCTAAGAACGCGGGCGGCATGAAAGATAGCAAGTGTCTCACGTGATTTCTAGCTTCCTCGGCCTCCAGTCGTCGTAATTCAAGGTCAACGGCTTTCGTCTGGGCCCGTGTCTCGGCGAACGTCTTCTGGAAGTCGAGAATCTCGGCCAGCTGCTGCTCCGCGCCACCCATTCCGGAACTCTCGGTCGATTGTACTCGTTGTTGCAGCTGCATACACTGTTCTTGTAGCTGACGAGTGAGCTCGCGAAACTTGGTGATCGTGAGTTCGCGATCCGCGAGCGTCTCCATGGCCGCGTCCCGATGACGGTAGGCATCGCGCGCCGCGCCAAGAGCCAAGTCCAGTTCCTCCCGCAGTTCTAGTTCCAGTTCCTTCGACGATTCCGCGAGCTGATCGGACATATCCTGTAACGCTTCTAAATCCGCTACGGCCTCTTCCAGTTCGGCGACCTTCTCTTCCAGCGCCATTTTCTTCTCGCCCAGTGCTTCGACCATTTCCTCGGCTCCCAACGCTGCGTCCACGTGTTCCTGCAGGTCTGCTATCTGATGTTCCATCTCCTCGACGCGCGCCGACAATTTTTCCTTCGTGCGACCCAGTTCCAATATCTCCGATTTCTTCTGATCCAGATCCTTCTGAAGCTTCTGGAACTCGTGCTTCTCGTGCGCGGAAAGATCCCGCATTCTGACGAGGGTCTCTCGTAATCGGTTATTTTGTTGCTCCAGTTGTTTCATCTCGTAACTCGAGACTCCGGTAGTCGTCGGACCTCCACCCGCGGCCTGCGAATAAAAAATAATTATGCTCCGACATGAAACGTCTACAATATACGTCTAGATAATTTCGTTATAAATGTTCTGATCGAACGAGGCGCGACACTTACCCTCTCGGACACTTCCGTTCGTAATATCTCCAGGTCTAACGTCTGCTCTTCCAGTTTTTCCTTCAGTTGTTCCAGTTCAATTTGCAAGGTTTCAGCTTTCTCTTCGGCCATTTCTTTGTCCAAAGTGGCCATCTCGACGGTCTCCGCGAGATCTGCCATTTCTTCTTGGAACTGTTCTCGAGCCGCGTGCGCCTCCCTTGTTTCTTGACGCGCCCGTTGAAGATCCCTTTGAAGGCTAGCCTTTGACATTGAAACGCGAGAGATATTTAAAGAGAAACAGTCATTCTTTTTTCTTAACATCAGTTCAGAACTCTATTAATTTACTTGGCTTTCCATAACTTTCGTCTTGAATTCGATGAGCTGGTCGAGCTGAAGCTTCGTCTTTTCAAAGTCCTTCATCCGTTCTTTGTCTTGCATCCTCTTCAGTCGCAAAGTTTCTACTTTCTCAGTGAGGTCGCGGACCTGTATCAATGTACGTTATACATCGAGATGTACGTTCAACAGCGAGAACATGAGAAAACAGCTGAGAGAGACCGCTCTCTACCTGAGATTTCAGATTATCGTTTTCCTGTTGAAGCTGTAAGTGCGACAGTTTCTCCTCTACCACGTTAGCGGCAGCTGCCGAACCTGCCATTACTTGACCAGGTACGAACTGCGGCTTCAGGGTCTCTACGAAACCTGTCTGAATTTTGCAAACGAAATGTAAATGGAACGTAATAATTCGGCATCGGGTGTTTCTTTTATTATCTCACCGAGATTATACACGGTTTTTAAAGGAAAGGAGAGATCCGCGCGTCCTCCGGCGTACACACACGCTGAGGTCGTTTACTTCCGTCCCGACTTTGGCCGCTACATTTTGTTCGAAATCGGCGGTAATGAAAAAAACACCCCGCGCACTCTTATACGTGTCTCGAACGAACGTCGTCTTTGTATGTACATTCATTAGAATTAGTCTATACCAATGTGATTAATGGTGGATTAATTGTGACAAAAAGACACCAACAAGCTACACCAAATAAATCTATTAGTTCTAACGAGTGTAGGAGAATTCAGTCAATGATTTGTGTTACGTGACACAGGAGTTTATTAAACTAGGTCATCTATCATGTCCTAATCGTTTATAGATGTTGCGAGCTGCGTTTCGGGAGATTCGAAGGGTTCTCGGTCGGAAAAAGATGATTAAACCAAGAGAGAGAAAGAGAGGCGCGGAGAAAAAAGAGAGAGAGAGAGAATGCTCCAAGTATAGACCACACAGTGCTGTTATATGCCTAATCAGAGAGAAACTGTTACAATCACCCTATTAGTGTAGTTCTAAGGGAGTCTCGGGTATCTAATGATTTGAACAGAAAACGTGACGATCCTATATTTGAACATTTTTTCTTCGGAAAGTTTTAAATTATCAAAGCATCACAGAACTGAATTAGAAAAGCAAACGCTTGAACTAGGAGACACGGGGAATTATGACGAGATAATAATAAATGTAAAGTTCCATGAAAACCATCCAAGAAACGATGGCGTGAACCCATCAAAGTGCGATGATGCTAGTTTTTATGAAGTCATGTGTTACAATGATCAACAAACAACTAGTATGAGAAAGTTTTGGGTCAGATGAAAAAAGTTCAGATATTACAATTAATGAGTATTAATTACATTATTGTGATCGTCTTGGGCCTTTGGCTTTTTGCCGGGAGGCGAGCTCGTGCTAGGGGACTTCTGAAACACGTACGTGCATTCCCATATGAATCATTCTGTGTCAACGGAATCGTTTAAGATTTGCTCAACGTTTAATGTTTCGAGTCAAACGTCGTTTTTTAACAATGTTCCTTCTTTAATAACCGAGTCACAGAATAAGATTCTTGATGTAACAAACGTGTAAGTAACCAAGTAAGACGAAAAATTGTAAAGTAACAAAGTCAACGACTATCTGTTAATCGGTTCATGAAAATTTATCACGTATAATTTTAATGAAAGACTTGTATCATATGTATTCATGCCTTGTCGAATCCTTGGAATAATCCATTCACCGTGTTTCACATAAATATAACTGATACAAAACAGCTCGTTAGAATCGACTGTGTGTAAAGGTAAACGTGTGATCCCGATTTTGAAACAAAGAGTGATACCTCGATGAATGAAGCGCGTTTAGTCGAAGTCGGGGCTGGTATGAGCGATTCCCCTCCATCCTTGCGTTCGTGCGAGCCGGACAGGCTTTCCGTGCTGGGAGCACTCAACAGAGTTCTACTGCCGGCCAGAGACAGTCTCGAGCTGTAAGAGAATCGTCTCCTCTTATTACTACATTTTGGACGTCGTTATAAATTAAGCTTTGTCTGTGTGTGTGTGTGTGTGTGTGTGTCAATACCAAAAAATAAAGTCTCACGTCGTTTAAAAACTAAAAGAACATTCATAAATCACGATACGACACAAGTACAGATTACCCAATCACATACACAAATACGTTGCCATAACATAAATTTATAGAAATACATTTCACTTTTGTGTAAACTATTATTATGATACTTTCAATATTACTTTATTCGTATGCTTCTCTGTTTCAAGTATCGACATTCGATCGATCCGACAAGTGGCTACAGTAAGCTTACAATGACGAAAGCTAGTGAAAGTCGTAAATAGCATGTGTGATTTGTGTGGCTGCTTGTAACATACATTTCAAAGCAATCGAGAAAAACATTAAGATAGATCTTTCAGTGGGCGAAATTTGCACAGATTCTTACCCAGATAGCTTGTCAGACTGCTGCCTGGTATGGGCAGGAGATGTTTTTCTCCGTACACTTTTATGACCAGCACATGAATTTCAACAATTTTTTTATTAATTACACTCGCCTTCGACAGACAAATTCTTTTTTCTTATTTCTTAAACGATCTCTAGCTCGATTGTTTTACAAATCAATAAAATAAATTCCGATCGATGATTCACAATTCTGGCTGATAAACTTACGCAGTAGGTTCGTTCCTTCGACGCGTACTAATGCTAGCATGAAATTTGTAATGATTAACGCGTAAGAGGGGTAAACCCAAGAAAGTTTCGCGAGTCAAGGGACAAGTATGTGACGTGTGGTACCTGTTCAACCGGCTCCTAGCGCGTGCTGCACTCGTTTCATCCGGTGTAGTAGCACTGCTACCTGCTGACGAAGGACTGGCAGGTTCAGTTCTATTGCCCGCTTCGTCCAAGAAGACAAGCTGGGACTGTCGCACGAACATCCCATGATTTTCGGCGCACTGATGTCATGAAACAGAAGAGAGAACGAGTATAACAGTGGTAGTATACTACTATTACTTCGTCGTAGACGATGCAGAAACAGGTGACGTACTTTAAAATAGGATGTACCCTTGACAGATCCATTATTCTTTCCTTTCGGCTCGTCGAGTATAACACCGACCCATTTGCCTTGAGCGAAAGCTGGGTAACCGATGTAAGCGATCTGCCCTTGACAATCTTTCCCAGGAACTTCGACTCGTTGTCCGACCTTATACGACATCTCAGCCGTAACGATCACACTTCATCCAACTTTCTACAATTCATTTATTTCGAACGGATCTGTGTTCAATGTGCTTTCGTTCCACTCCACGTAATCTCTTTAAACTGTATAAAGATCGTTAAACAACACTGGCAACATACGTTACGTTTGTAGATTGCTACTCTCCGATTTTGTCAAACCCTGCACTTCATTCAAAAACATCAAACTCCTATTATAAATATAACAAATTTCGTACCAAAAGAAATCCGAGGGTTCAATTAACGAATATAAATGAGTAGAAACGCGCTAATCAATGATCTAATCGCGATTTCTGTGCAAATGTATTAAGTTTGACAGTTTTCTATGGACACGGCCGGCGGCATCATCTAGCGGCGAGATGCCGAAACTACGGAATGGGTAATAAATTTTTTTCTCCCTCAGCCACGTGATTGGCGCCATCTAGCGTTCACGACCGCGAACCCGGTTATAGGTATACTGTGCAGCGTTGAGATATTTTTTCCCTCGGCCGGAAAATGGGGACGACGCGACCATGGTGGGGAGTGTGGGGACTGGTACTTGATGGGGGTATGCTGGGGTCGGATATTTTATCCCTCGACGCTCGCTTCCCCTGTTTTTCGCCCGTATTTCGATCCCCACTACTATTCCCCTCATGCGTGCTCATGCGCGTTCGCGAAGCTCTCCGCAGCGGTACCGTGAAAATCAGTGCATACCCCCACCAACTATTGGTCCCCACTATGGTCGCGTCGTCCCCACTTTCCGGCCGAGGGATAAAATATCCGACCCCTGGGCCCTGGGTATGCTAGGCAGTCTAGGCACGGTCAGCGAAGGCGCATGAAGGGAATAGTAGTAGGGATCGAAATACGGGCGAAAAACAGGGGAAGCGAGCCGTAAGGGAAAAAATATCTCAACGCTGATACTGTGGTGCACGGTCGTGACCACCACCATCGGAGTTTCCCGACCTGTATATAGGACCGTGCTGTGCAGGGTGCGTATATTTTTTCGGTCGGCCGGAAAGTGGGGACGACGCGACCATGGTGGGGACCAATAGTTGGTGGGGGTATGCAGTGATTTTCAAGATTTGTAGGCTTATTTTGGCTATACATCTCGTCAAGTTGGCAACGTGGATAGTAGCGCCAAGCCAAGTGTGACGTAGACGAACGCGGCGCTGAATCTTTACCATTTGAGTTTGGATGCCAGGCTTAAACAGTACCACGTGCGATTGTTTTGTTCTGTTCGATATTGTTATTGTTACTGGTTATTTTGTTGTTTTCGTTATTGTTATTTATTCTTGTTATTGTTATTATGACTTCTCGTGAGTGCGAAAAGGCTGAATCATCAGGTAAGATATATTTTCAGTACTTATGTATTATGTGTATTCATGCACCGAGTATAATTCAATAAATTAATGATCCTGTAAGAAACATATGTTGCTTGTTGATTCATAAAAGAGAAGAGCATTTTTTACAAGTGGCGGCTTCATTTATTTTCTCTCAGAAATGTGGGAAATATTGCGAGATTCGTAGACAAAGGACACGTGTTTCACAAAGTCTCGGAAGAACTCTTCGTCTGCATTGTCCGCAATGCAGGGATGGTGTACAGTGAACATTTGTGAAAATTGTGCAATTCTGCACAATTCGTACCCATCCCGAATCGGGTTTTTCATATTATACAGATTTCGCACATATGTAATACACGAACTTTTAAAAAATTGAAAT